TATGTTTTTACAATATTCATGATCAACATCTCAAAAAAGTAATAATATTTTGGTATATATATATAAGAAAAATGTGAAGGGGGGTGTTGGCGCCCGCAGGCAAATGCATTTTAGAAAACCAAAAAAAAAAATTAGAAAAAATGATACGATAATAAGGCATATTGAAGAGTTCAAACTAAAACGTCCAGAATCCAAAACAGAAAAAACAATACTGCCAATGATTAGCTCATTAATGAATAATGATACAGACTGCACCTGCTTCTTAACAATATTCAAGTCTATACAAAAAATTCATCTAGAGTCAAATTCCAAAAAAAAAATTGAAGGGGAGGGTTGGCGCCCGCAGGCAAATGCATTTTAGAAAATCAAAAAAAAATGTAGAAAAAATTATACGATATTAAGGCATATTGAAGAGTTCAAACTAAAACGACCACAATATTAAACAGAAAAACAACTGACGATGATAAGCTCATTAAAGAATGATTATACTGAGGGCACTTGCAGGTAATCTATAAACAAGTCTGTCCAAAAAATTCAACTAGAGTCAAATTCCTAAAAAAAAATTGAAGGGGAGTGTTGGCGCCCGCAGGCAAAAGCATTTTAGAAAACCAAAAAAAAATTTAGAAAAAATATACAATCAGAACAAATATCAATGAGTTCAAACTACAATCTTCAGATTCATAAACAGAAAAAACAACCTTTGTGGGATCAAACTAAAACGATTCAGATTCATAAACAGAAAAAACAACCATTGTGGGTTCAAACTAGAACGACCAGAATCTTAAACAGAAAAACCACCGACGATGATAAGCTCATTAAAGAATGATAATACAAAGGGCACCTGCAGGTAATCTATAAACAAGTCTGTCCAAAAAATTCAACTAGAGTCAAATTCCTAAAAAAAATTGAAGGGGAGTGTTGGCGCCCGCAGGCAAATGCATTTTAGAAAACCAAAAAAAAATATACAATCAGAACAAATATCAATGAGTTCAAACTACAATCTTCAGATTCATAAACAGAAAAAACAACCATTGTGGGTTCAAACTAAAACGATTCAGATTCATAAACAGAAAAAACAACCATTGTGGGTTCAAACTAGAACGACCAGAATCTTAAACAGAAAAACAACTGACGATGATAAGCTCATTAAAGTTTGATAATACAAAGGGCACCTGCAGGTAATCAATAAACAAATCTGTCCAAAAAATTCAACTAGAGTCAAATTCCTAAAAAAAAAATTGAAGGGGAGTGTTGGCGCCCGCAGGCAAATGCATTTTAGAAAACCAAAAAAAAATGTAGAAAAAATTATACGATATTAAGGCATATTGAAGAGTTCAAACTAAAACGACCAGAATCTTAAACAGAAAAACAACTGACGATTATAAGCTCATTAAAGAATGATTATACAAAGGGCACCTGCAGGTAAACAATAATCATGTTTGTTCAAAAAATTCAACTAGAGTAAAATTCCTAAAACAAAAATTGAAGGGGAGTGTTGGCGCCCGCAGGCAAATGTATTTTAGAAAACCAAAAAAAATTTACAAAAAAAATCTACCAATCGAAAAAAAAATAGTTTATGAGGAACCCATGTGAATTAACACTAAACAAAAGAATACGCTGGAAGGTACATTTTAACTACAACCCAAAAACTAGGTATTGCTTACATTATAAAAAACGAAAAGTTATTATGATCAGAGGTGTATCACTGTAATATATGTATTAGAAAATGCATAAAAATGAATGTAATTTATTTAGGATGCAAAATAATTAAATGAGAAAAAGGTTAATTTAAAATAATATTAAGTTATACATTTTCTATTTACAAAAACTAATAAGTATTTAAAATCTTATAAAAACCTAATAAAATTATATTTTATTATATTTTAAAATACATATTATTATTAGTTCGTTGTGGTAAAAAAATCATTAATTAAAGTTGGCTGTATTTAAGTTTTTAACTATACTGGTACAACTCTAGCTGGCAGTCTTTAAGACCGTGTTAAAAACTATGATAATTAGTTAACGTCTAATTTCCTCTCCTATCCTAACCTAACCTAAAATAACCATTATTTAAATATTTTCTTTCATTGTTATGTTTACAATATCGAATACCTTGATAGTTAGTAGGAAAAGACCATTGCAAAGCTCACGACCAGTGATGATAGTCGTCTATCATCACCATTGGATCCACTAACCTAAATAGGTTTACCTAATTAACCCTCTTATGACTTATTAGGACACTTTGAATAAAAAGATCTTGAGTCGGTTGCCGAACTTAAGTGTTTAATTATCAAGTTTTTCCTTTGATTTTTGACACCTTAAGCTTATACCAAATATTACAGATGGAGCCATACCTAGCTCACTTGCTCGCGTAAACAATTTGAAGCACATATATGCCACGTGTCTTTGACATTTTTATGGATACATATCAAATTATCTTTGCATAATATTATTTAAATCTATTATTATTATTACCTAATATTATTATTTTATAATATTTTTTATTTTTTTAACACTTTAATATATATATTATTATAATTCTTTTTTTAAATTATGTATCCTTAAATACTCTGATATTAATATGCCAGCCACCTTCAAGTTTTCTCTATATAAAAAGTAAATGTAAGGCAGAACTGTAACTCAAGTCACAACAGTCTCTCTTTTATACTTTTAACAAAAAAAAAAATATAAATACTATTTTTGATTTAACCTAATAAGACGGGGTGCACGTCTATCTAATATAACTTATTAGTATCGTACATTTTTTTGAATGAATGATTTTTTTTTTGAGCTTGAGCCCAGCAACTTTGACCATTAGATATTTTTTTGCTGTAGGTTGTTTGTAGTGAGTAGTAACGGTTGGTTAAAACACGTTAGTATTTGTGGCAACTATTTGTTGCTAAAAATTCCGGGTGGTCACCCATCCGGGATCTAGTAACAGCGGCCTATACGTACACTTAACACCTTTCCGCAATTATAATGTCCAGATATTCACTCTAAGCCAAAGAATATGATTATTCATTACTTGAAACATTAGTTTTTTATTTCTCACATAATATTTTTGGTCGATACTAAGTATTGACGTTAATACAAATCTTGTACTAATGTCTCTCCACCTAGTGAGCTGGCGACAGGGCACGTCGCTCTTTTAGAACAATTATCTATTAGGTACTCAATTAAGTCTTTAGATTTACTGAGCTGGCGACAGGGTACGTCGCTCTTTTAGAACAATTATCTATTAGGTACTCAATTAAGTCTTTAGATTTACAAATGATTTATATTTTGTAGACGGGATAATTTTAAAGAGAGACTGTGTAAAGTGCAGAATATTGTGCTAACTATTTAAATTTTAAAGCTTATATGAGCAGAGTAGTAGAATAACATTTTTGCAAGGTTCATTGCATTTAGAATGTAGATATTAGTTAAATCAAACCCCGCAAATGTACCTATAACAGTAGGATAATTATGTAGGTTCAGCAGCTCCTCCCCCTTAAATTTTACATGTAAAAGCATAGGCTTCTCTGTATAGGCAATTCGTAGTACAGGCTCCTCCCAAACTTGTATTAATTACTCAATATAGGCAACCCGCAACACACATAAACTCGTCACAAGCCACCCGATCCAACACGTGACCGACATATATTTTATGCCTTCCCCTTCAAATACATTACCTCCCCTTTTATTTACCATTAAAAAAAAAAAATAAAAAAAAAAATAATATTCTGATGTACATTTGTTTCGACTATATCGAACACTTGTCCGACATATATTTTACCCCTTCCTAAACAAATATATTACCCCTTCTTATTTTCCCTTTAAAAATAAAAATATATAATATTCTGATGTAAATATGTATCGACTATATCATACATGCTCATAATATCATATAAGGTAACAACATAACACATATCTAAAAATATTATGCCATTTTCAGATTATAATCCCCCATTCGAATAAACATCTCGCTAAAGCATACACCGCGATGTATCTCAAATATATTATAATATAGTTTACATATATAGGTACATACTTACATAATTTATATCCAAACAATAATTATATACTCATCATTATCACAAACTCCTGAACATATTATACAATTTACATAATATATACGATACTTAGGTATATTTATACATATAAATATGATATGACCAAACACTTAAAAACTATAATATACTATGAAACACACGATACCATACGGTACTCATCAGTTTTCATTCTGAACACACGCTCAACATATATATATATATATATACCAGTCTTGGGTAGTATTCCGAATAAAGTATTCCGAATACAGTATTCGGAATACTATTTAGGTATTCAGAATACTTTTGAAAATACTTTTCCTAAAAGTATTTTACGCAGTATTCAGAATACCTTCGAAAGTATTCCAAATACTATATTCGGAATACTTTAATAGTATAACAATATATTTTTTTAGGATTAAAAGGATTTTGGTTATACAATTTAAAACGAAAAATAGAAAACGTATAATTTTTGTTGGAAATTTCAAATTTGTAGGTAATTCAGTAATTGATATTTGATAACATCTATCAATATTTAATATCATACATTCATACAATAATAAAATTATGATTTATGACCGGTATTGGTTTATATACGAGCGCTTCCCCGCAGTAAGGCATTTGGCTGGCTTATCATAATATAATAACGTTATCATAGAGTTAATCTGCGACAACAATTATATGTCTAGATGTATTACAAGGGGAAAAACATATGTATTTTGGTTACTTATTGCCATCTATCACATCACTCAAACAAAAATATGATGATTTACTATCGGAAAAAAAATTAATTTTTTGCGATTTTCTGGTTATTTGTCTTAAGAATAGCGTAGAAAAACGTTTTAATAAACAGCTCAGTGATCTATTTTTATTGTCTGCTACACTTTCTCATCTATACTTCAAAACGGCTTGGCTTAATAATAGCGATAAAAAAGATACAGCTTTATCATTTTTAAGCACTCATGTTTAGAAATGTTTGAGCAACAAAATTTATTGGAATGTGAATCATCAGACAGTGACGATACAAATAATTTTTTTGATTGGTCAAAAAATAAATCGAAATTAACTCTACCTTTGGAACAGGAAATATCAAATTTTTTTACCAAAAGTCCAACTAAAAGCTTAGATTCTTTAATTGAAACTCCAACAATAAGAAAAGTATTTGTAAAATTCAACACACCACTGCCAAGCAGTGCAGCTGTAGAACGTGTCTTTAGTGTTGGTAGTGCCGTATTGACTAAAAAAAGAGGAAGAATGACAGATGAAAACTTCGAAAAAACATTAATGCTAAAATGTAACAAACATTTAATTTGAAAATATTTTAATATTTTGTTTAAATAAATACTTTTTACCTAATTTAGTATGTATTGTTTTCAACTGTGCCTGTCCTGATGAAAGATTTTATGCTTTGATAATATAATTAATATTATTCATAGAAGATAATAATATTGCAGATAATTATTAATAAATATTGTAAATCATAAATAGTCCTAGTTAGGTATATTATAATTTTAATTTACAAACAATATATTATATATTTAAGCATTGGCTATAGTTCCCCCAAAGCAGTTATTATTTTATTAATATATAAAAAAAAAATATTTTAAAAGTATTTGGAATATTTTTATAGTATTCTAAATACTTTATTCAGAATACTATTTTTATGATGTATTCGAATACATATTCGGAATACTATTTTTCCTGAGTATTCGAGTATTTATTCCAAATACTTTTAAAAAGTATTTTACCCAAGACTGTAATATACCTTATCATACATACAAGCATGCATACACACACACACACACACACACACACACACACACACACACACACACACACACACACACACACACACACACACACACACACACACACACACACACACACACACACACACACACACACATACAGACTTAACGTACTCAATGAGATCCACCTATAAATGGTGACGTTGTGAGATCCACTATAAATAATAATTATTTTTATGCGGGACAAACAGTAATTAATTTATAATACATTTATATAAATAGTTTTCAATAATATACACGGACATACTCAATTTATATTTTTTTCCAATGTAGACTTTGCGAGCTCCAGTGTATGTTGGACTAGACACATGATAACTGGACTTAAAGAGATCCTTTAAGTTGTGTATTTCATAAGTTTAGTGAAGGGTCAGCGTTATGAGGTCCATTACACTGTTGCCGTTGTTAGCTAACTTAAATTGTGGGCGACAATGCAAGACGTAGGTACGTAGGTAATAATAATGATAACAATAGACGTATGTAATTGGCAATTTTGTTAAAATTGAGTTGCACATTGATTTATACATTTAAAATATCGAGGAATCGATAGGCGTCATCAAATCGAGTGAAAACATATTACCTATTTCCTATTTCAAAACCGATATTAAAATAATGAGTTGATGAAATACGTACTAATGGCATAATATAGATTTTTTTCAATACCTACAGACTATTTACTCTTTGATGCAAAATGTACCTACTATTATTGCTATAGATTTTGTAATATAAAATACTTAATACTTAATAATTTTTAGACTATAGTTAAGTAAGAGTCTACACTATTTTCAGAAATAGTGATGAAGTTGAAAATTAAGAGCTTGAAACTTTGATGAAGATAATGATCATTGAGTTATTTTATAATAGTTATTAACTTATAATATCACTTGACACTTAATATATTTTCTATTAGCCTATAGTAGGCTAGTGGTTTCATTTTTTTTATTTAAGTGTTTGATTGTTTGAACATAATTTATTGTTTTTAATGTCAACTTTATTTACTATATTTTACCATTTTACATTAGTTTGAAGGGGTTCCTACTCTTTTATATTTTATTTACCTTATATTTTATTAGGTTGGTATTTTTTAAAATTTATAATAAAGATGTTATATTAAAATATATTATAATATGTAATCCTTTAACCCAGCGGTCATCAAAAGTAAAAACTGATAATAAAGTACATGGGTAGGACCAAGGGCTTTGCCAGTTTATTTGATTTGCCACCAGACAGTACCTGTTTTTAAAGTTTTCAATATAACGTTATTATGAGACTTCACATAAATCAATTGCCGAAAAATGTCCAGTAATTTGTGATATTCGTAAATCAAAAATTGTGAACCTGCATTTAAAATAGTAAGTGCACGAATCATACACCAAATTGCATGCAGTTAGTTGAGAGCAACGCTTGCCATTTTTCCCAATAAGTTAAAGTTTAAGTTTAAGTATATAGGTACTACTATCATTATGTGCTATGTATTATATATATTATTTTAATGTAAAGAATTTTAATTGAATTTGAATTATTAATTGAGTCAAAGTACATACATTTATTTATTTTAAAATATATTCCTCATAATACTTAATATTAATGGAAATAGAATGTTTGGAAAAATGTGTATTCAAAAAAAGCAAAATGTACCAACAATTGATTGAAAATAGTATGTTTTGATCCAACTGAAAATAAAAAAAGCTATATTTAAGTAGCTACAAAAATAAACTTTGAAAAATACTTTGGCCAACAGATTTGTATCTATTTTAAACAATTTACTTGACATTTATACCTTAATTATTTCATACACAGTAGAAATTACCTCCTGAAAAATTTGTAAAAGACCAATAATGCGTTTTGTTTCGTCACCTCACAATTGCTATCTCTATTTCCTGCAGACTTCACCAACATTAAAAAATACCACGTTATTTTTTCAGAATATATTAATTTTAAAGCGTGTAAGCTTCACTTGTTATTTGATGCTGCAGCAATGTATCGATGAAAAATTATTTTTTAAATAGTTTATTTATTATTTAATTTAGTTTTTATCATGAAAGGTTTAAAATCCTTGGACCATAATTTTGGTCACAATCAAATTCAACCTAATAAGTTTAAAAAAAAAAAAAAAATAATATTTAAATACAATGTTGTAACTATAAAATACTTTAGTTTAACAACTTAATTCTTAAATGCTTAAGGTGAATTTCTTTATTATCACAACAAATGTAGGTAATATTAATCTAATTTGATTTTAGAATGTAGATTCATATCAAAATATTATACAAAATGTTAATGCATACTAAAATAAAATATAAAATACATACTAAAAATGTTTACAGTAAAATAAAATTGTATAAAATAAAATATAACCTTTTAGCACATTGTCATCAATTTACTCAGTATTAAACTATAAGCTGAAAAATGTTTACCCTTATACCTATGCATGCTAGGTACTACTTAATAATATGTTAAATTCTAACATATTTATTTTTTATAGATATTGTAAACGAACGTCTTAATTTTTCTCCAGTCTTTTCCTGAAAAAATATAATGCAAATTTATTAATGATCTGTTAAAATATTATTGGATTAAATTGGTACATTACCTGTCATAGTTTTAGTGTTTTTCTTAATGAAATCTTCACATTCATTTTTTTTTGGAGGAATTTTTAAAAGAACATGTTTTTGAAAGTATTTAGTAGTTAAATTTTTTTGATCTTCTGTCCATGGTACTCTGTTAAATTTTTTCTCCTTGCATATTCTTTTATTATTTCTAGTTGTTCGAGGTTGAGGTGTGGTCGGTGTGGATTTTTGTGGTTGTGCTGTTTTTGGTTGTGGAGAAATTGATTCTATTTCAATATTTTCCAGGTCAGTGGTTTTTAGAATAGTTTCTTCTGTGTTGTCTTCCTCATCTGAACCACTGAAATCGGTGTCGCTATTGCAGCTTTCCTCTGACACAAGTCCATCTACATTTACATCAATTTCGTCAAAGTTCTTCCCTCTGTATTTTTCTGCTTCTCCCTTTTCCATCATGAGTAAGAACTTACTAACCTTCTAAATACAAATTATACGCAAGCATGAATTTAGTGTATCGTTATGAGATTCGAATTTAAATTTAATAATACGGGCAAATATCGTGTATCGCTATGAGATCCAAAATGAAATTGAATAATATAGTTGAATATGGCGTATCGTTATGAGATCCGAAATTAAATTGAATAACATAGGCAAATATGGCGTATCGTTATGAGATCCGAATTTAAATTTAATAATACGGGCAAATATGGTGTATCGCTATGAGATCCAACATGAAATTGAATAATACAGGCGAATGTGGCGTATCGTTATGAGATCCAAAATTAAATTGAATAACATAGGCAAATATTGTGTATCGCTATGAGATCCATCATGAAATTGAATAATACAGGCGAATGTGGCGTATCGTTATGAGATCCAAAATTAAATTGAATAATATAGGCAAATATTGTGTATCGCTATGAGATCCATCATGAAATTGAATAATACAGGCGAATGTGGCGTATCGTTATGAGATCCAAAATTAAATTGAATAACATAGGCAAATATTGTGTATCGCTATGAGATCCATCATGAAATTGAATAATACAGGCGAATGTGGCGTATCGTTATGAGATCCAAAATTAAATTGAATAACATAGGCAAATATTGTGTATCGCTATGAGATCCATCATGAAATTGAATAATACAGGCGAATGTGGCGTATCGTTATGAGATCCAAAATTAAATTGAATAACATAGGCAAATATTGTGTATCGCTATGAGATCCATCATGAAATTGAATAATACAGGCGAATGTGGCGTATCGTTATGAGATCCAAAATTAAATTGAATAATATAGGCAAATATTGTGTATCGCTATGAGATCCATCATGAAATTGAATAATACAGGCGAATGTGGCGTATCGTTATGAGATCCAAAATGAAATTGAATAATATAGGCGAATATGGCGTATCGTTATGAGATCCGAAACTAAATTGAATAATACAAAAAAACCTAGAACATTTTATTATATCTCACAGGCCAAAAAATTATTTTATTTTGTATATTAAACAGTTAAATTTATTACAGTTAACACAAATATAATTTGATATCTAAATGTTAAACTTATGTTATGCCTTGTGATAATTTAATATACTATCATTTTTTTACATATAAAATACATATTATATACAATATTGTATGAGTATAGTATTGTACAATATATATTTTTCAATTTGGTTGTTCTTGTTATAATTCAAAGTAATACGTTAACTGTTAAGTATAATTAACTAATTTATAAAATAGAGGGTTATATATATATTTTTAATTAATTCACAGGTATATTTTGATAACACCCAAAAATTGGAACAATATGTGAACCAGTACCTACCCACTGATAGAATATTAGTAATTTGTATTTTCTAATAATTATTTTAAGGTAGGTGGGTGGGTATGTATTTTTGAAATATTTTCAGCATCTCAGTTTGGTTTATTGTTATTTGT